GAACTTTAATTGAAATTAGAAAAGCAGCTGATCAGCTCTGACTTGGCCATGTGGTTTTTCATTGCCATGACAAGTTTCTGCAGGATGTAATGGGAAACAAAGCTTCAGTATAGAGACCTCAAATGGATAGGGGTCAGCCACCAGCTGACATACCAAGGACCTCCATTCAGTATCTCTGTGCTGAACTGCATCTTCTGAATAGATGAGTCCTCTGGCTATTCATCAGGAGTTTTTACTTAATTGTCACGTACGCATGCAACTCCCTATGAGTTGGGAAGTTCGTCATTGCTCCTCTGCTAAGGTAGAAAAGCTACCAGGATAAATGCATTCTATAGGGTAACTGGCTTTTTAAACCTTGGACAGTTTTTCATTAGTAGCAGTGCTAAGATAAAGCAAATAGTCAGCCAGCTGGCTCAGGACTGAGCATTACATACATGAAATGCTGAGGCAAATGCACTAGAAAAGGTCATTCCAAATGCTCCGACTAAACGAGACATTATGATGCTGCCCAAATTCTCAATGGCAAAACCAACACCTGAGATGGGAGCCCACAAGTCCTTCTGCCAGCTTCACTGGATTTTGGATCAGGGTCTTTCCTACAAAACCACCTGTAGCTGTGAACCTTCTTACTTAGAAGTAAAGCCAAGAGACCACTTCTGAACGTGAAGAACTGTGTATAACAGACAGCTCCTTATGGCTCTCCATGTAGTAACTTGAAGACGGATCTTTCAGCTGATGCTTTTCACTGTACACACAAATGCTCCCTGCTGCCAGGAGCACAAGAAAAGAAAAGTTATCAGCTAAATTTAAAATCCCAAAATTGCAGGCTTGTCTGTAGCTGATTGCTTCTCTAAGCTGCTCTGCTTCAAAAGCAAATCTCATTATTGCTTGTGTAATGATCTCATTGATCATTAAGCATGGCCTTTTACTACAGCTACAGTAACACTGGGAGGATATTTGATTAAGAATGGATAATTTCATTTAAATGCATTTATGACTTCTGTATATTTTTAACAAAAATATCATAAAAAATTTAATGGAAAATGCACGAGCAGAGCAAGCTGCACGTGTAGAAACACGCTTATTGACACAGATGGTGTTTTCAAATACACTAACCTTTTTTTTATATTTCAAATTAGAAAAAAAAAAAAGGTAACAGAAACATTAATTCCCAATAGACTTTAAATGTGTCAACTTTTCAGAAAAGAAATACCTGGTATTTTCAATAGTCCCCACAGCATTACAAACACAAAAGGGTTTGTAAACTTAAGCTGCAAAAGTCCAACATTAGGTCTTTCTGAAGGTGTACTTTTCTGGCTGAATTTACTTCTTGCTAAAAGAGAAGGCAAATTGCTGGGCTCTATTATATATAAACATAGAAGACCAAGTGCCTTTGCTGTATTTTCTGGTCTAGCATTTTGCAGGCCTAATACCCCTCCTTAAGTGGCTTAAAAATGATAACTTGCAATTATTCACTTCCTGTATCTTACACTAAATGTTAGTTTGCACAAATCTCTAACAGCAGCATAGTGTTGTAATTAAAAAAAAAAAAAACCACAAAACACACAGGACAGAGGTAGGTGAGGACATTACTAAGGAAGTGAACATGATGACTATGTCTAAGTTTACAGTCAAAATTCTGACTTGAGTGGATTTATTCTCTTGAACACACAAGTAGGTGCATTAACTGCAGGTTACTAGTCTTGATAAGATGGTCACGTTTTGTGAAGTGCAAAAATCAACTCACCATAAAAAATGGTTGGAATTTCCTTCCCAGCAGGGAAAAAGCCACTCTGTGGCAATGTCCTTCCTCCCATTCCAGCTCTGGGGAGCTGGCCTCTTACTGCTCCCAATGCAAGATGTCGGGAATCGTGGCTGCTTCTCCTGGCACATGCAGTAAGCAAGCTATCTCACCACAGAGCCCTGCAACAGAACATGGGCAACTTCATGAGATGATACATTTTGTTCCAAAACTTCTGCTTAACTATCAGTTCCCCTGCACAAGGTGGAGCAGCAGCTGGGACAGAAGATGTGGGGAAGATCTGGCCACAAGTCAAGAGGCAGAGTGATCCCTCAACACTTAGGAGTCACAGGGCAGGAGATCTGCCTGGAGTGTACTGATCCCCTAATAGCCTGCGAATGCCCTGGGAGGGACATCTTCTGAACCAAATCTTGGATTTAAATTTAATCCATGTGAGCTCCTCTGCATTTATTTAGGGCTTTCAAACCATGAGGAGAGCCCCCATGATGACCAAGAAAGGAAAAGTGTCACTGACAATGTCCTCACTTCCCTGTATAACACACACAGAAAACATCCTTTCACTGACTCTGTGACTCCCCACAGTTGCTAGGTACATGCTGGCAGAGTTGTTGTCCATGGGGCTCAGCTGCCCATGAGAAACTTGGATGTTGCAAAAGACAAATGGGCAAGAGGTCAACTGCTGAATCCTGAGACTTGATTGCAGCTCCTGCTATTAAAGTGCCCCTGCTGCCATTCCCAGGAAAGGCGTTGGACATGAATGGAGATCTCTGCATCCAGGTTTTATACATGCTTCATTTAATATATCATGATCTTGACTGGTTTGCTCTCCTATCCCAGAAGTTTCCAGAAGCTGGACAGAGGTGATAGAAGCTTTAGGCAAAGAGTCTCATGTAACAGATGGAAACACAGTCCCAGCCTGACTGCTTCATCGAGCACTTCAGCCAATTTCTCATGTTGTTGTCAGCAGTTGCAGGCCAAAAGGGCAACAGAAAGGGTGAGCTTAATCTGCAAGAAATCATCAGCAAATGAAACCAAGGTTAGATCAGGTCAGTGCATTACTAACTTCATTATTTTGAAAATGCATGTACAAATCACTTCCCATTTTAGAAAGCAGAGGAATTTATTTGATAATTCACATGCATTGAACCAAGTTTGACATAAAGGAAGAATTACGTTTCTTTAGGAGAGCCTACTTCCTGATCATGTAAAGAGCTGTATTCAGCTTGGGCACCAGGTGCTCCTGAGCACAAGCCCTGTAAATCCCACTGTTTGTATACCCACACTCCTGCCAGACCCTAAGGTGCTCAGAGCAGCACTAGGGAAGGGAATAATGCCTGCCCATGATGCATGGCCTGAGTGCAACTTCCACTGGACAGGGAGTGAGTTACCCATTTGAAACAGGAAGTGAAAAATTTGGTCCCAGCACACTCCTGTCACAGGTTGAAAATCTTTTCTCATTGATCTATATTAAAGATTTCCTACAACAAAGTGAAAGAGAGGGTTTCAGTACCTTGTCAGTCATTGAAGGTACAGTTGTAGCACAAAGGGGTACTCGTGTTTCATACCAACTCAATGAATGGGAGCCTTGGAGCAAAAGTACAGTTTTAACTCATTAAACTTCCCACAGAGAAAGAAAAAGTTGGATTACTAGTGTGCTTACTAATGCTTTACCATGCATTTTTACTGGTTACCTTACCAGGGTTAGGAGTAAACTGCTGTCTGCTAAAAACAGCTCCTTGAGAATAATATCTTCTGCTTCCCTTTGAGAAGGCTGAGAACCAGATCCCACAACATGCTGCTGTGTTCCACTCTCTGCTCCAAACTAAAAGAAATAAAAGTTCCTAGCTGCTCAAAATTTGCAAATGCTTATAAATTTGTTTCAAATTCTGTTTGCTTTAGAACCATAAACATTCCTTCAGTTTTCTGCTAATGAAATGAGGAAAGGTCTCAAACTGCTTCTCTGCAACTGAAGGAACTGTTTTACCCCATAGAGGCTGCTTTATCAAAAGTCAACAATTAAAAACTGATAAAATATGGTATTAGAGCCCTTTAAACTTTACTTTTTGGGATGCACTCAAAACCACCACCTCCAAAGTGACTTTCTGGAGACAAGGAATATTAAAGCATAAATCTGCAGCCAAAGCACACCTAAAAGCATGGAAGTTCCACCACCAAGCTATGCCTCAGCAATTTGGCTTATCTCTCAGTCTACATCAGTCCCGATTAGAAGATATTTTGGGGTTCTTTTTGTAAATTTTTTCTTAGCTGTAAAGGCTGCTGGTTTGTGAAAACTCAGCTGTTGACATCAGGGAAAATCACATGAAATTACATGAAAATGAGCTGACCTGCAGCAAATGATTAAGAGTGTGATCTATCACCTCCTCATGCCAGGAGAGACTGCTTTGGTTAGCACCACTCCCTGCACCTGCAGGAGACACACACATAATTGTTTATTGATAAAAAGTGAAGAAAGCCTCAGAGCACATTTGTGTGGTACACATCGGACTACAGCATTAAAAAACTTTGCTCCAATTCTGCTGCATTTTGGTCCCATGCTCAGAGAAGAGCAAAGCAGAGCAGCACCGAATGGACTTTACTAAGGCCAAAGTACAATGGAAAGGAAAAAGAACAAACAAACAGAAAAGCACAATATCCACTACAGATAAGAAGCAGCAACATGACAGCTGTAACTACTAACGTGCATTATTCATGGACAGTTTGCACAAATCCTTCTTCACTGATAGCAAAAAAAGCCACCCACCGAAACCCCAAACCCACCAACTTAAATCACACTTGGTTCTTTATATAAACAGCTTTGAAGTTGGGTTTTTTTTTTTGTGCTGGTGGGTTTTGGAGTGTTTTTGTTGGTTTTATATCTGACTCTCCATTTGCAGCTATTTAAGGCATTGCTCTATAACTGGATCCAGATAGTGTGAGCTTCACATTAGTTAGAAATAATCTACAAAACACATTACTCGGCTTGTTCAACACATTTTACATTTAGGAAAAAACCACCCATCATCTGACTCAACTCCTCAGCGCCCGTCTTTATTATTATATAGATCCAAATGGCACTTTATCACTTTAAATTTGCTTTGAACGCAAGCCAAGAAATTCCAGCACTCAGCATTGCTCTGCAAGCCCCAAGTCAGCCAACTTGCTCGTTATCAGGAATGATGCATGCACCGTGTGTGTGTGAGACGGGGGAGGAGGAGGAGAGCCGCTCACGGGGAGGGAGCGGTGTGTATATTAAGAGCCCGTGCTGGAGCGCGGCTGCATTTTGGGGGTCGGCACTCGCAGGGACTGCCGTGCAGAGAGGAGGGGACCGCGGAGCGCCGCACCGCAGTGAGTTCTCTTTCAGCTCTGCTAGCGCTGCAGCCCGGCTCCTCTCTCCCCTCGCTGCTTCTGATCCTACTCTGCCCTCCCTAGGCTACCGCTACAGTGCCCGTGTGGGAGGTGAGTCTGTTAAATGGTGCTGCGTCTAGAGCAAGTCCTGAGAGAGTTTAATTTTTAGAGATTTGTTAGGTTTATTCAGCCTGACTCTCTGAGTGGTGTTACGGGCAGAGGAGCTCCATACGGTGGCTGCAGGTGTAACTCAAGTACCCCATCTGTGCACCTTCTTTGCTACTTACAGACATCCTTAAACTGTGCCCGCTGCGCTTAGGACATCTGTACAATCACATGCACGGCTAAAACCAGACTTTACTCAAAATTGTGAACTGCTTTACCAGAGGCAAAAAGGCTGATCACTGGCCTGCTGTCGAAGCAAGCCCCTGCTCCTCGTCAGTGCCTTGCACAGTTAGTGCTGAGCTACTTGGATAATCAGGCTACGCGTCAGGGTAGTTGCCAAAGAAAAGACAACCTCGGAAGTGAAGAAATAGGAGTGAGGAGGCTCTGGGCATTCTGCGAGGAGTTTTCAGTAAGTGAAAACCCATTTCAAGCCAATATTCCATTACATATGAAGGCTGACTAAAATGCCTTCACTTACAGAACCAAGCTAAATCTAGGCTAATGTCAGAGAAATTTGACTCATTTTAAGCAGCACCAAGCAATTATTCGAGGCAATTTTTGTGTGCTCTTCTGTAAACTTTTCAAATCCCTTTGTTCTAAACCAATGGAATTAACATACTCTGGGGTTCTAATTCCTACCATCATTCTATAGAGAAAAAACCTCCTGCATCTGCTTCCACTCACTCAATTTTTGTCCTTATCAAAAGTCGAAGTTTTTTTGTAATTTGTCTTTTACTTCAAAATGATACTCTAAATAGCCACTGAGGACTTTTTTCTTTCATTCTAACTGCTGTCATTTTCCTATATACATAATCCTCCCACACACATTTCCTCTGTTAAAAGCCATTGCTTGTTCCCTGTTCATTTCAGACTATGCAAGCAAACAAACCGTAGCTATAAAATAACTTTCCTGGGCTTCTGTACTCCTTACAACTGTTTGTAAACACTGGTACTTTTATACTCAAAACTTGCAATGTCTGTAAAGAAAAAAAAGACACAGAGGTCTTTTTCAAGTTTACTTTTGTTCAGTCTTTTGTTTTATTTAATCCAAAATAGAATCCACCTCTCCCTAAAAATGCGCACATTGTGTAAATTACTCCCTGCTGCAGACACACACACCCAGGCACACAGTCAAATCTATTTGTATAGAAATAAGACAGAAACTCTCCAAATTTTAAGCTGAAAATATACACAAAGTAATTCTTAAAAGTTCTGTGTCTGTGCACAAGCAAGCATGTTAGCCAGTGCAGCACGCTCCTGTGCCACTGCCCAAAGTGCTCTGCTGCTTTAAGGGTTTGTTCATAGCATTTCTCATTACTGTCTGTCCCACACTGCTTCTCCTGAGCAGCTGGAAGGCAGAAGCAGTTGAAGTTTGTGCTCATTTTCAACACAGCTTGGATCGAAATCTCACCAGAAAGTAATTACACTGCCCAGTAGCCACTGACATGGGTGGTGTTGTTGCAAGCAGGGGGCAACAGAAAAGGCTTATTCACACCTCCTGGAGACTTATCATATATGCTGCAAATCTCAAACAGGTGATTTTTTTTACCCTTTTGACAGTTAGTCCAAGAAGTGTGAGGAAAGAAAGAAAGGGGAAAAGAATCAGCCAAATCCCACATACACATTTCAAAGTGACACCACTTTGAAGAACCTTGTCTAATCTCCAGGCAATCTGCTAAAAATTGCACAAAACAAGCTACAACAATGAACTGAGAAACACCAAAAGCTTACTTTTGAATCTCTTTAGAAGTAACTAAAAATAGTTGGGACTTAGTAAAGAATGAGCCTGAAAAGAGAGAAAACAAGGACGTTCAGTGATACTGAACAGTGATACTGGGCAAAGTGTACTATGATGTTTATTTGTAGGAGATGCAAAGGGGAAAGGCAAACAAAGGTTGAAGCTGTCTCACAGCTTAGTTTAGTTGATGTGTGACAAAAAAGAATGCATGATGTGTATGTCTCAGCCAAAGGACAATTTTTCTGTGCCTGGCACACAGCAATTGGGACTGCCCTGGAGCCAGATTAGCTGGGGGTTCCATGAGAAACTGGCTGCAAAGCGTCTCTCAGAAAGTACTTTCTACTTAAATATAGGAACACACAGGTTAGGGTTTCACATACCGAGCAGTTTGTGACTGTAACTCAAGAGTCCTGCATGTTCCTCACTTATGGCCAAATCTAGGTGGTCCCCAGGCTTCTGGCTAGGTGTTGCTCAGAACAGTAGGTCCACCTTTGGCACCACTGGTCCTCTCAAGGAGACTGGCAATGCCTGAAGAGCACTTTAGCAAGGTTCTGGATCTGCTCAGGCTCACTATGGCTAAGAAAATAATTTCAGAATATCTGAAAATATTTGAGATCTGTGCCCCAGCCCATTGTACTGCTGCCTCCAGGGCATGGTGGTCTGTGCCAGGTACTGCAGGGCACAGCAGGACACTAGGAATTTGTGACCAGGACACGTAGTGGGTGGTACTGGAGAACTCTGCAAAGTGAACAAAAACTTCCCTCAGTTAAACCTGTGCCTGCTACAGGGATCATACACAGTGCTTAAAAGATATCTAATTCTTTCATGCCTATAATTTTGGGGTGTTTTTAGCCAACTATACAGTAGATCCATGGTATGCAACAGGTAAAGAGCAAAGTAGTTTAGACAAGCAGGGGGAAGGATTTGGTTCTTGTACTCCCCCTTGCACATATACACACACTCAAACCCACACAAGGCTGGGATAAAAAAAAAAATACCACTTTTTCACATCCAAGGAAAGATGTTAGGCAGCCAAGACAGTTGTTATACAAATTATTGTGCTGGACAAGCTTAAGAGGTCAGAAAATGGATGTGATTCATCCTGGCAAAAGCAGCTGGCTTTGGAGAGCCAACTAAACAATACAGAGCAATGCCGCTCACAACTGAGCCCTGAGCTTTGTAGGAATATTATGAGGTCATGCTGATTCATCTGAAGAGTGCAGAGAGAGATGCAAGGCATGAATTTTACAGGAATGACATGGGGCTGGCAAGCATTAAGATTATTTAGGCTTTTGTTCTACCACAAAATGCTTCTGGGAATTCTTAAAACATCTGATGTGGAAATAAAAGACTTAGTGGTTAGGATAATTTCTCAGGAAAAACCACTTCTTTGGCCTGCATCTTTCCTAAGATCTCCTGCAATTTTATTTACCAGTATTTCATTGTCTTGGGTGTGCAATTTATTAATCTAAAAGAAGTTGCACAAAACAGTTTCAAAAGTTATCTGCATAAAACTGGGACCAAGTAGATGCAAATCCAAAGCTTGAGGATCAGGCAGGAAGCAGTCACCCCAGATGCTCAGGTCCTAAAGGGAAGGGTGTGGCAAGCCATGCAGGCTAAGCTGCTGAGGTGGCTGAGTAAAGCTCATCGATGGTGTCCATCACCATTTCCCTGCCTCCTTAATCCTGCTGACATGTGAGAGTTCTGTCATTCACTTCAGTTCAAACAAAAGGGGTGAACTTCAGATAGCTGCCCAGATTATGATCAGTTTGATTGCCATTGCTGGAGGGGCAATCACAAACTCAGCTTAGGGAAACCCACTGGACTCTTGGCATTTTCCTTCAACAAGTCTTGACAGTGGACACTCATTCACTGCCCACTCACACTGGACTCCCACTTAAAAAAAACCAACCCTTTCATATGTTTCTTATCTTCCTCTTTCACTAATACATTGTGGTTACTTTTCTAAAAAAAATTAGCAAAAAAAACCCCACATGGGTTTCTTTTCCTGTGTTCTTCAAGGATTTTTTTGAGTTCTGATTTTCTACATCAGCAAAACTAGCCTGAAGCTTCCTCAGAGAGATAATTGCTTTAAGGTCTCCTACAGTTCCTGGTTTTTTTAAGCCCATGTATTGACAGATCAGGTTTTGCTCAGACAGTAGAGCTTTACTCATCAGGTCACTTAAAATAACCATTAGTACTACTCAATACTCTCACAGTAAGGCCTTAAAACATCTTCTCATTTTAGGATGCTGATTTCCCCCATAGGTCACGAACAAGCAGCACACCAGGTGCATGCACATGCAAAATCCTTCTAAAAAATATTTTAAATCTGTATTATGCTCTAAGTGATCCACATGTCTAACCTTAGAAATCATGCTAAGAAGTACCCATTATATAAGGAATTTGTTATTTCAAAAGTTGATCCTACAGAAAAAATTCCATAAACATTTACTTCAGATGATTTGTGTATTAAACAGAAAAGGGTGCACAGATTTTTTCTCTTTTCTCTCCAAGGTCCAGATTGCTATCTTAGCAAGAGGTCAAATTCAAATTTTTATTTTCTATAACTGGACCAGAGTGGGAAAAGAGACCATAAATTTTCAGAAAGAGAGCTTATGTCAGATTGAGAGCTGATAGGAAATAGAATTACTTAGTGTTTTTAATTTTATTTTCTGTCAAAACACAGACTGATATGGAATTCTTCCATTGGAAGACTTGCAGTCTTCCATCAGTCTGCCAAAATTCTCTAATCCTTCTCCCCAAAAGATGGGCAGAAAATTTTTTACTCTCTTTGCTAAAAAAAGAATTAATGAAAACATCTTTTGGAAGAAAAAAAAAACAACAAACCATCCAATAACCACTATTCTTAGTTTTCAAAGGCTAAAAATATCTCTTAAATCACTAATATTTTTTCACCCAAGATAAAAGAAATTAAGACATTCCTGTAGCAATCAGTTTGATCAGTAAGCAGGAGGAGAGCAGCACCACACCTGCAGACAGGGAAAGGCTTCTTCTCAGATGGTTTCTGTCTTTTCAGCACTGCTCAAACAGGAAAATGTAAACATTACACCTTTATCCAAAACAGACTGATATGCTGGTCAAATAAAAAAGGAAGAAATACTGCTCATGGACATTTTTTATCTTTCCTACAGTGTACAGTTTATAAAGTTAATAGCTGTGGAAATTTTTCTTTACTTGCCTTCTA